CCTTAATGCTTTATCCTTGGTACTGAACATTGTCTCATCACGAGAACGGACTAAAATTTTATTTGACAATGTTGAACCGTCATTAATGACTTTGTTTGATCTCCTTGAACCTAGATCTTGGGATCTCCAGCCTTTTAGGTAGAGTTACCGCCACTATGATTTGTTCTCGGCCACGGTCCCATTCCCCTTGATGACTTCTTAACTACCTCTCTAGTTAGGCCTTTTGTAAGTGGATCCGACACATTATCACTTGACTTTACATAGTCAATCACGATAATTCCTCTGGAGAGTAATTGTCTAACGGTTTTATGTCTTCATCGTGTGTGACGAGATTTACCGTTATACATAACGCTCCCAGCCCTTCCAATTGCCGCTTGACTATCGCAATGTATGCATATTGGTGCCAACGGTTCGGCCAAAATGGAATATCTTTCAAGAAATTCTAGAGCCATTCAACTTCTTCACTGGCTTTATCCAAGGCTATGAACCCTGCCTCCATTGTAGAGCGGGCAATACAAGTTTGTTTGGATAACTTCCAAGATACCGCTCCTCCACCAATAGTGAATACATATCCACTTGTGGACTTAGAATCAGTTGAACCGGTGATCCAATTTGCATCACAGTATCCCTCTATCACTGCAGGATATTTACTGTAGTGCAAATCAAAGCCCTGGATATATTCTAAATATCGTTTCATTGCCATCCAATGAGATTGGCCTGGATTGCTCGTATATCGACTCAATTTACTTATAGCACAAGCTATATCTGGTCGTATATAATTCAGGATATACATTAAGCAACCCAACACACGAGCATAATCTAATTGTGATATGCTTTGGCCTTTATTCTTTGCTAATGCAAGATTCACGTCAATTGGAGTCTTTGCAACTTTAAAGCCCAAGTGCTTGAATTTTTCAAGTACTGTCTTAATATAATGAGATTGTGACAATGCCAGACCTTGAGGAGTCTTATNCAGACCTTGAGAAGTCTTATGGATCTTAATTCCCAGAATTAAATCAGTAACTCCCAAGTCTTTCATATCAAACTTGCTAGTTAGCATACGCTTAGTAGCATTTATGTTGGCAATGTCATTACTCATTATGAGCATATCATCCACATATAAGGAAACAATGACTATGTGATTTGGAACATTTTTAATGTACACACATTTATCACATTCATTTATCTTAAATCCATTTGACAACATTGTTTGGTCAAATTTCGCATGCCATTGTTTGGGTGTTTGTTTTAATCCGTAAAGGGACTTAACAAGTCTACAAACCTTCTTTTCTTTACCTGGAACCACAAACCCTTCAGGTTGTTCCATGTAGATTTCTTATTCCAACTCTCCATTTAAGAAGGCCTTTTTTACATCCATTTGATGAATTTCAAGACCATAAACTACAGCTAACGCTACTAACGTTCGTATGGACGTAATTCTTGTAACTTGAGAGTATGTATCAAAATAATCAAGATCTTCTCGTTGTCTATACCCTTTGACCACAAGTCTTGCCTTATATTTGTCAATAGTGCCATCATCTTTCATTTTCCTCTTAAAGATCCATTTAGAACCCAACGGTTTATTTCCAGGAGTAAGATCAACCAATTCTCATGTATGGTTGTTCAATATGGATTCTATTTCACTAATGACTGCCTCTTTCCATAACAATGATTCCGAAGAAGACATAGCTTCTTTAAATATTTGAGGCTTATTTTCCAATAAGAAAGTCACAAAATCTAGTCCAAATGAAGTAGACGTTCTTTGACGTTTACTACGTCTTGGATCCTCCTGGTTAAGTGTACTTTCTATTGTTTCTTCCCGATGTCATTTAGATCCTTCATCAATCGGCTCACATTCCTTTTCATACGGATATATATTTTCAAAGAACTCAACATTATCTGATTCTATAACCGTATTATTATGAATGTCGGAATTTTTTAATTTATGAACCAGAAATCGATATGCTTTACTATTAGTTGCATATCCTATGAAAACACAATCAATGGTTTTCGGTTCTATTTTTACCGTTTTGGGTTTAGGAACTTGCACTTTTGCCAAACGCCCCCACACTTAAAATAATTCAAGTTGGGCTTCCTTCCTTTCCATTTTTCATATGGAATGGATTGTGTTTTGCTATGGGGTACTTGATTTAGTATTCGGCTAGCCGTAAGAACGGCTTCCCCCCACAAGTTCTGTGGCAAACCAGAACTTATCAATAATGCGTTTATCATCTCATTTAATGAACGATTCTTTTTTTCTGCAATCCCATTGGATTGGGGCGTGTAAGGGGCCGTTGTTGGATGAATAATTCCATATTCTAAACATATTTGTTCAAAAGGAGATTCATATTAATCACCCTTATCACTTCTTATCATTTTGATTTTCTTGTTAAGTTGTGTTTCAACTTCATTTTTGTATTTCTTGAATGCGTCTATTGCTTCATTTTTACTATTAAGTAAGTAAACATAGCAATATCGAGTTATGAAATACTTCTTTCCTCCGCGAGATGGTATTGACTTCATGTCGCAAATATCTGTGTGGATTAAGTCTAAGGGATTTGAATTCCTTTCAATTGACTTATAAGGATGCTTAACATACTTAGATTTCACACATACTTGACATTTTGATTTGTCACATTCAAACTTAGGTAATACTTCCAAATTAATCATTTCCGCAAGGTTTTATAATTAACATTACCCAAACGTATATGCCATAATTCATTTGACTCAAGTAAGACGAAGCTGAAATTTTATTATTATTTTCAATAACTATTACATTCAGCTTGAA